TTTAAGTTTAATAATGAAATAATTTATTTTTGGTTTAATAATATAACATTTTATAAAGATAATAATTAAGTATTCTGTTAGAACTCAGTGATTATATTTTAGATTTTTTATATTTAAAATAAGATGTTTATTCTGTATTTGATTATGTTTATCTATAGTTAGTTAGACGAATTCAGATATGAAGCTTTAATAAGTTGTACTTATGCACAATCTACTTGCAATCTTGAATTTTAAGTAATATGCATTAATAAACAGTAGTTTACGCATAAAAAATGGTTTTTAAGAGTTTTTGTCAGATGTTTTATAATATAGTATATATTTTGTATTTAATAAACTTTGAGTTCCTTGAACTATATTATTTTCAACGAAAATGTTTTTTATAATTATTTATTATAAATTTTTCCTTAGGGAATATGAAATCGACTAATTTTGGTCCCTCTCGTTAATGGTCGTTAACTTTTCGTTAAATTCAGTTAAATAAGAGATATTTTAGTCGTTTCATCGATTTTCTTAATCTTTCTTTAAATATCTAAGATATTATATATAATTAGAAATTATGGTCTATCAAATGCAACTCTCTTAAATGTTACAATTAATACAACTTCATTTTACATCAAATAATTGAAAAACTTCATAGATTGGGGACCAAATCTAAACTATCTTATAGTGAATTACATTTTTCATCCCTGTGGTTTACCAAAATTATGGTTATCGTTCCCTCGGTTACATGGTTGCCCTTGTGGTTTTCATTTTGCTTTGGTTTTGGTCACTGGGTCTAGCAACGGTTAAAAAAGGACGTTAAGTTTTCTCACATGAGGGGTAATTTGGTCATTTTGACTCTAACAAATCCATTAAAATTAAATTATATGTTAAGTTTTTCGGCTAGATCCATCTCAGAAACCAAAAACATTCATCCAATGTTAGGGATTGAGAAATATTTAATATTTGTTTAATGTAATTCAAGAACAAGAATAAGAAAGTAAAATCGTAAATCAATAAGAAGAATAGAAAAACAAAACCCTAAATCACGGACAACAAAACTAATTTAAAACCCTAAATAAT